GTGTACCTCTGGTGCAAATTACTGACCTCTGTCATCATTTTAAGTGGGGGAACTTGCACAATCGGTGGCTGACTAAATACTTTTTTGCCCCACTGTATTTAGCGAGTTTTCAAACCTCCTTAGTAACTTTTTTCTAAAAAGCGACTAGCGACAAATCTGGCGACTTTTTCTGGTCTTATCGGGAGACTTATGACGACTTTTTGACGTGGAAGCAAGTATCGCTCTTACTGTCAGTGGGGCTCACAGGCGGCAGATAGTCCTCACGCAGAAGTCCACCCGAGCTGCTGTCAGAGCAGGAGATGGTCACACCTATAGGTCGAAACTGCAAATAAATCGCGCATGAGCGAAGCTCCTGCTCCTGCCCTGACTGCAATGCAGTCAGTTCTTGTTTTACTCTTACTTTTTGTGGATCACAAGGTTTAAAACAACTTAAAAACACACACAAACAAACAGTAACTCCGCCAGAGTGCCCATTTTGGGTCACTTTTGCCGGTCACAAGACTGGATAAAGGAAGTGGGTTGGAAATGTGACAAAAAAAACTAGAGAGCGAAAATTTCAGAAGAAATTTTAAGTGTGCCTATGCCGCTGCCAATGAGTGCAGTTTGCCATTCATACGGCTACAGGGAGCAAAACGCAGCAGAGCAGCTATTCTCCACCATGAACTACGGTAAAAACAAACACCGCTCGCTCCTCACAGATGACAGCTTACAGTCTTGCGTAAAGATGAAGTGACTTCGTACAGCCCCGATTTGCAGATGCTGTGCGCAGAGGTTCAGGAGCAGAAGTCCCATTGTACCACGGCAGACATGGCGATGTTTGCATGAACATGCTTTGTAGCATTTCTTTATTGACCCACACAGTCCGACACACCAACACAACAGCCGAGAGTCTCTAAGCCGGAGAGGCGTGATTGCAGATGCCACTCAGGTGGGTCCGCCTCCCCTGCAGCAGCACTGCAGACCACGCCCCGCCACACACATCAAACACGTAAAATAAATATTTATCAAGATATTTCGCAAATATTTATTTTTCATTTTTTAGCAGCATAGTGCTTTTTGCCAAATATTTTTAAAATTCAGGTCAAGGCGTTAATCATAGTAAACTGTATTTTGATCTCTCCTATATGCAGCGCAGCATACAGAGAGACGAGAGGACGAGGCTGCAGGTACATCACAGCCAAAAAACTAATAAATAGAAATAAAAGAAGTAAGAAAATAAATATATGCTTTAAGTCTCAGGGGATAAAGACAAGGCACAATTTAGAATTTACCATTTAAATTTGGAGTGGTTTAAAGTAAACAGTGTAGCAGATTGATTTTCTTGGGAGTAAAGAAATGTTTTGCATGCACCTTTGACTGACAATGATCTACAGTCAATTTCATACATTATTATAAAAACTTTGGTTAAAAGATCCACATAACTATTTAATAAAAGCTAGATATTTTAAATGAGAATAAGAAAGAAAATTATTTCTTTGCGCCCCCCTTTCCCTGTAAATGCCCTACCTGGCCCCCTGGCAAAGATTTTGCTAGACCCGCCCCTGCACAGTTACCAGCTGTCAGCTACTCAGAAAAGGATCCTGGTGTTATCTGTCTCTCAGAAACAGTTCATAACTTCCCTTCAACTCATTCATGTCACCTAAAAGGTAAACCTGTTTCTCCATCACCTGTTCAGCTCTGATGATTCAGTAAGGACATCTCCTGGTTTCATCTTCACGTTTCCCTCTCACTAGGATATCCAAACTGACATAATGTTCAACAGCTTTTACAGCTGTGGCTCCAGCCAACATCAGCTGATACTGGAAATTAATATCAAATAAATTCTAACAACAGCTGATCAAGCTTAAACGTGCTGCTGTTGTTTAGCGCGACATCCGCTGGTTTCCTCGTTCTGGCGCAAAGTGGGCGATAAATAAACAAGAAAGAAAAGCCGATCAGCTGATCATTGATCAGTTTCATGATTTTAGTAGCAACAGGCGAGAGAGGGGGAGAGAATGAGAGAAGAAGAGGCAGCTGTGCAGCAAAGACAGAGTAGACAGACAGAACCTGAAAATTGTGCTGAAAAGAGGTGAAAAAGTTAAAAATTGTGCTGAAAAGAGCAGAAGAGGCTGAAAATTGTGCTAAAAAGAGGTGATGCGTGCTATATCTTTTGGTGCACATAACTTTTATACTTTTTCAGATATTAAGCTTTTTATGTCATTTTTGGCCCATTTTACTGAATGGGACAACATTATCAGTGTGATCACCAGCTTTGCTTGCTGGGCTGAGCCATGTTTTTTCTCTGTACCCTCACCAATTTCACATCAAAACATAGGTATTTTCTATGGCTTTCAAAAAATGTCACTATCATTGTTGTGGGAGTTAGAGATTTTTGGAAAATCTCCTCAGAGCAACACAAAGTCTGAAAACTCTCCATAGAAACCCAATGGACACTTTGTTCAAAATCAGCGCTGGAATTCTCCAATGAGACACATTTTCTAATTGTCATGTCTCCTTAACAAAACGAAGTTAAGACATGAGGCTTGTGTCAATATATCTTCAGACACTCCTGACGCTCATGATTCAACAATTTTTTTCTTACCTATTACCGTTTGGCCATGAATTACATTTGTTTGAGGGTAGGAAATTTCTGCCCGTGGTATGGCAAAATGCCCATGTTACGAAACAGATAAAATAGAAAACTGCCACTCCTCCACCAAGAACCTCATCTTCAGCCAGCATTGCCTCACTCAAAAGGCGATGGAAAAAGGTGCTTCGACTTACGAAAATTTTGACTTACGAAAGACCCTCTGGAACAAATTAATTTTTTAAGTTGGGGTTCCACTGTATTTGTTTTAAATTATAGTATTTGTGCTAAATGGTAGTATTTGTCCTAAAACATAGTATTTCTGCCAAATCATAGTATTTCTGCAATGTTATAGTATTTGTGCTAAAGCATAGTATTTGTGACAAATCATAGTACTTCTGCTATGTTATAGTATTTCTGCTAAATAATAGTATTTCTGCTATTTTGTAGTACTTTTGATAAATAAAAATATTTATACACAGCATTCACACTGCATTTTCCAAGGAAATGCAACCTTTTCTAGTTATTATTTGGTATTAAAACTACTTTTAATTAGATTTGTGCTGTGTGTTTTATTATTAATGTATTTTATGTATTTCTGTTTTATATTACTTACTGTGAAGCACTTTGTGGTTTTTATCCTGTGAAAAGTGCTATATAAATAAATTGATTTGATTTGATTTTAGTGTGCATCAGCACCAGACCGACAGAGGGTGTGATGGAGTGACGGCAAGTCACAAGGAAAAGTGAGTGCTGGTGAGGCAGTGTGTGTTGAGCCCAGAAAAGGTAACCGTAGCTGGCTCCAGGTTGACTTCTTTCTGGCTAAGTCAAAGACACCTAAGCAACCAGAAGTAAAGGTAACTAGAGGCACTGGTGACAGCTGATATTGCTCTACCTCTGGAGTAGAATTCATTTGTGTTTACCAACAGCTAGAGTCATCAGAGCAAAAGACGACTAACAGGCCCGTTAAATCTTAGCAGTCTAATTATTCAGATAATAAACCAAAGGCAAGCAAAAAAATAAATAAATAAAACAGCTAGACAACAAATGGACAGCAGTCAACCAGATAGCACTGTGTACCAATAACATCAGAAGCACAGAAGTATATATGAGAGATTAGGCTGACATGAGAACTTACTGATTATGTTCCACTTGTAGCACCAGCTGGAGGTCACTGGACGAGAGCAAGATCTTTCCTCTGACTGGATATTCCCCCTGTAAGGTCATGATGAAAACTGGGTTAGCTCCAGATGCTTTGGCTTCTTTTCACTATGCAAAGCCATGCCTATTGGGTTAACTTGTGATTTTAAATATACTATGAATTAGAGGTAGATAAAGTGCTTGAAGTTTATAGTGGTCAGTATGATTACAATAGTGCTATATGAATGAAAAAACATCTCTGATTGCTAGAACATGTTAGTAGCCTTGCCGGTGCATTTTGTATGGCTTGGAGGCGAGAGAGATGATTTGTCCAAGCTGGTAAACAGGGCATTACAATAATCTAAACGCGATGACACAAATGCATGAACATTTTTTCCAGTTCAGCTGAGGAGACCATATATCTCCTCAGCTGACCTGGCATTTTCTCCATCTTCTTGGAACTATAGGCCTTTGGAGTTGATGCCGCAATGCATTGTGGGAGCGCGGCGCCATTTTCCGGGTCCACAATCAAAACAAACACACTGTGTTGGAACGACGAATACAAGAAAGAGAATCAACTATATAGAGACCAATTGCGTCCAGAGGTGAAGCGGCAGTACTTGCAGAAAATGTGGACCAGTATGAAATACGGCCGTGGAGTAGAAACCCTGAAGACCAACCGCTATTGACATAGCCTGACATATTTCCTACCTTGTCTGTGGAGTCAGCGTGTACAAGTCGTCATTCAAACAAAGGTAAGTCAGCTTGAGTACTGCGAGTGAAATGAATTTGATTTTCCCCCGAACATTCAAATTAGTGCAGCATAAATTCACTCATGAGGGGGAAATTACAGTGAGAACATGTGGAGGCTCTGTTAGATGGATGTAACATTGTCCTGGAGGATTTAGTTTTTCTTTATGGTTAAAGAAATGGCAATGATTTATTCATATTTATTATAAATAATTCTAATTATACATCTTGCTTCCATGTTTGTATCCTGTGTCACAAAAAATACATTTTATTTTAGTTTTATACATTGATTAATGACCTGCAGAATCTCCTTATCATATTAAGTGATTCATAATTGTCACTAGGGATGGGTACCGGTGTCCGGTGCCATGATGGCACCGGTTCTGACATAAACGGTAGTAACCAGACCGAAAAGCAGCGCACATTTCGGTGCTTTATTTCTGTGCTTTTCTTTCCTGAGCTGTGATACACTTTAGATTCTAGCCAATCATTTTACGTTTCCGAGGATAGTAGGCGGG